TTTAATAAAGCATAAAATAAATGTTGTGGTAAATAGAGACGGTTAATACACTTTATATATATATATATATATATATATAGGGTTTTACAATTATGATAGTAATTCCAAATGAGCAGCTTCAATTGATCCAAGAGGCGCAAAACGTGGAAGACTGAGTTAGACCCTAGTGCCTGCTAACTTTAGCTGGACATAATGGAATGGCCTTCACATCTAGTGTGAGCCTACGAGAAGATACTCCCGATGTACATCGCCCATTCCGTCCAGGTACACCCTCTCGCAACTTTGGGCATCTAGCAGGTATTGAGATGGACATTTCTCAGGTCAGATCATTTCTTTCATGTCTTTAGGGACATTTGGATTTTAATTGACAGTCGGACTTCTATACAGCACCTTTTTCGTTGGACAACTGTTGGGGATATGACAAGCCTAAATATTCTGGATCTTGTTTTCGACTTTCCTCTATAAACACTCTATATACTTTCAATGTGTCCCCTAACATATTGGACTGAATGGTAACCAGATAGCCGATGGCATGACCAAGTCTGCCACTACTGACACCTTACGAAGTGACACTTGTCTAACTTTTACCGAACTTTCCTCTATTAAAATGATAGAGTTAAATGCACTTTGGAGAGTACCCTCTGCACACACTTGGTATTTTGGGAAAAATACTTTGTTGGTGTCACCAACTTAATATTCCTATGGATCAGCAGACGGCACTATTACGCCTTTTTGGTGGCGACATCAAGTCTCTTACTTTTTAACAGGACCGGAAAGTATTTCCAGTTTGTCATAGGTGCGAGAATGATCAAGAATCCCTCAGTCATATTCTTAATCGCTTGAATTTTACTAATGACAACGTTTTAGGAAATATTATTTTCCATTATGGAGAGAGTGTGCAGCTAAGCTACGCCATCTGGGATAAGAAACAACAAAAACACAAACCTGATAATTTAATAGAAACATTGCTTCAGAGTAATTGTGGGAATACAAAGTATGTTTCCATTGCTTGTTTTTAAAGTTTTTCCTGTTTTAAAGGATTATTTTTATATCTCTACTAATGTTTCGTGTGAAAATTGTCAAGATTTGGGCAATTCAACTGTTAAGTGATAACTAGTGTTGAAGAATAATTTTCTAACTCTCTCCCATGTTCCAAGGCGAGGGGTTCCAATGGACAATCTCTCCACCCACAAGAAGTGCGAGGTCACTAACTAAAGGGGCAGCAGAGAAGAGAGAGATTAGAATGGAGAATGACTTGTGACGTGGTGTTAGACGCATGCATTTTGAGTTTTACTGCATTATATTGTGTGTGAAAACAAATAATGTTTATATAGTTCTCTAAGAAGTTGTTCTGTTTTAGAGTCTTTTGAGTTACACTACTGTCGAATAACAGCTTGCACATGAACACGGCTTAGAACAGGACACTTAAGGGGCATGAAAATTTAGAAGAACGTGACAAGAAAGTATTCTTTCTGCTGATACTGCCACGATACGGAGTTTAACACAGAACATCTTTTCACCTGCCTTCAATTCAGGCAAAATTGAACCCCTTTTAGAAACAACTCTTATGAAGACTTATACGAAGATAATTGCATCCATATTGCCCATGCTATTTTTAGGATCTTATGTCTTAATTAATTATTGTCCATGACAAGACCCAGCCCATCAACGAAAAACCAGCACGTATCTTAATATTAAGTTTTTCAATATTGAATGTCACGACTATTGCTTCATTTATTCGTACATCAATTGGAACTTGGATGTGATAAAATCGAATTTGAACAATTACTAACGTCGCATTTTGCAGCTACATTTTTGTTTTTGGTAACATGCTTCGCAAAATTAACTTCGGTCATGTGATGAGGTTGGCATAAGAGCTGGCACCACACCATATGAGGACTATCACCCTAGGCACATTTAACTTGTATAACTCAATACGGCATATCATTAGTGTCACCAGGACTTGGATGTTCGATTCGACAATGCCAGCCACGAGTTTGCAAGCGTGACCAGTCAGCTACCACAGTCACGTGATAAAATCGAAATGAGCTAAAACCATTTATTATCCTTTTATTTGTTTTGATTTAGTATAAAGCTCCAATATAGATAGATTAAACATTTTTAAATGTAAATGATAAAAAGTGTTAGAAAAAAATGAGTTTAATACTGAATAATATAATATTCTTAAATTAAGTATATTTATTTTCATTTATATTTTTATTGCGTATAACAATATAATTCGGATTGCATATTAAACAATAATCATTTTTAAAGGTTTAATTTTTTCCATTTTAAGTGAAACTTCCCAGAAATACATTTCATAATAATTACTTCTATTGCATTTATAGTTCCTTGTATAAAATTTCCCGCCTTTGATTTCATTTAACTGCTTGAAAAAAAGTACTGTATCCTTTAGTTACAGGTTATGATTATTCTTTCCCTCATTTAGTTCATAGCTCATTTAGTGAAAAATTATGTACTTCGTGTTATAATATATATATATATATATATATCAATCAGGTCAGGAAAGTTTAGCTTCTAAATTAAGTAAATAATAAATAAAAATAAAGCGAACTCTTTACTATCGCGTAGGGATTTGAGGGTAAATAAGCCTTTTTAAAGGTAGAATGAGTTCTGACGAAAGAGAGAGCAGAAACGAAATACTAGTTGGTAACTCCTCGCTGCGATGTTGTCTTTTGTTCCACCCTGTTCCGAGCCAAAGGGCCGACATTTTGGATTGAGGTATCCGACTACGTTCAGAACCGTGATTTTAAAAAAGCGCATAAATTGATAATTTTCATGATATTTAGTGTCACTTAGATTAGAATACATGTATAAAATTGTTTTTAAGGACATTTTGACAAAAAAATTATTTAAATACAATATTTCGGCAAAAAATGAACTTAGAATAATTTTTTTTTTTCCAAATGTTCTCCTTTTTTGAAAAATGTGTCTATTATAATAATATTTTGCCTGTACATAGCTCAGACCTCTGTACAGAGACTCAACTAGAATTTTTGAAAATATAACTTAGAAGTGGGTTTATCCATATTTTACGACAACAGAGGGGAGCAATTTTAAGAAAAAAACGCCGATAATTATATTTAAATGGGTGGTAACTCTGAAAATAATGTGAGTTTTTGAAAATTTCTAGTTGAGCCTCTGTAGAAATGTCTGAGCTATATACAGGCAAAATATTATTATAATAGAAGCATGTTTCACAAAAGGAGAACATTTGGAAAAATGATTATTCTAAGTTAATTTTTTGCCAAAATATTGTATTTAAATATTTTTTTTTTGTCAAAATGTTCCTTAAAACAATTTTATACATGTATTCTAATCTAAGTGACACTAAATATTATGACAATTATCCATTTATGCCCTTTTTTATAATCACGGTTCCGAACGTAGTCGGATACCTTAACTATGAACGATACTAAATAAAGAACTATTATGTTAACGATGATGTCTTCTTCCATTCACTAGCAGGCCTTGGGCCTGACATATATATTTGAATAAAATGATATAAAAGAATATCTTACTGCACTAAGATTGGAGAATAAGAGAATTTCCAAGAATCTGAAATATTAAGCATTTAAAAATGTAAAGACGGAAAGAATCATTTTTGGGGGACTAAAATGGATAACTATTACGATTTTTACAGCTGTCATTGATTTAGGACAGAGAAACAGGGTTAAATATTGCTTTATAGGATCCAACCTTCCCCTTAAGATAAATTTTTCGACATAATAGAAAAAATGTACCCTATTAAAAACTAGGCTTATATCTGTATCTGGGATGAACACACAACAATAAAAATAAAAAGAATATATATATGTGTGTGTCCTTTATTGTGTTATTTTTCTACTGTCTATGTGTTTTTCGAATGTGATTGTTTGATGTTTATCTCTTGATTGTTAAGAATTAGACTACATATATATATATATATATTAAAGTTATAAAATGTATTAAGCTTATATGGCTTTCATTTGTCTCATCCAAAACTGAGAAATTTCATAATTTCTCTGAAAATGAAATAGCAATTTTAATAACTTATTATAAGCAAAAATGAAATAATTTTTTTTCTGTTTTGTTAATGGATATATTTGTGTTGTAAAATATTGAAATATTAAAATGTTTCGTATATATTGAAAAATTGTATATTTACTGATTTATTAAGTTTGAATTTAAAATGGATGAGTTTTCCTTAAAAATGTATAATCAATGCACTAGAGGATAAAAAACAACTACTGCTTTTTTTTCTTCCATTGATAGATAACATACTTTAAACACAATCATCTATTTGTCAGACCTGAATATATTATGGTATATTCCAACTATTCATCTCATTTCTAAATGATTCAATTCTTATTTTGCTGTTTTAGGGTAAATATTATATTTTCGGATTGCTCTGAAATAATTTCATGAGATCACGAAATCAATAGAATTGTTTAATTGATAGGAAAATTAAGGGAAAAAAATACTTATTTTAAAAAGGTATTTTCTCATTTTGATGATGCTTTTTCCTATCATTCTTTTATCTTCTAAGAAAATAATCGAATACTGTTTATGTATTTTAGGTAAAGATTACTTTATTTTTGAAATACTTAAAGATACGAAATAGGGGTTTAGTAACATTAAATGTTCTGATATATACCTCATTTTTTAAAGCGAAATTAATTGAAAGATCATATAAACAAATAATATAAAAAAAAATAGAATAATTCCTACTTAGGTCAACATAGAATTTTTTTATTTAAGTTACTTTGTATGCAATCGTTACAATTAATATAAATATGTATATACATATGACAGAAATACTTTATTAAGTGACAAAATAGAAAGCGATTTTCGTTACAATTTTACGTTTTCATTTCTATATATAATGTTGTACTGTTTTTTTTTTGTTACTAATTAAATTAAAAATAAAAAAAAAATAATTAAATTTAATTTTTATTAAAATAGTATAGTAAAAAAAATCACATTCTCAGAAATTAGGCTGTCCCACGTGGGACTCGAACCCACAAATTTTGGATGAAAAGTCCAACGCGCGATCCATGGCACTACAGGGACACAACGAAAGGTTTTCCTTTCTATATATGTTGTAGGACTATAATTTTTGGTAGTTACTATTTATTCATTTTTAATTTATTTAATGAATTAATATTTGAAAAAACTGCATTAACATCAAGTGTCATCCAATAAAAGTTTAAAAAAAAAAGGTATTTAAACTCTATGAATAGATGAATAGGAAGTATTTTATTAACGACTGAAAATGTGAACAAGATATATATAGGGAGAAAGTGAACTATAATAGTAGGAATTGATAAAGCCTTCAATTAGAGGAAGAAACCTCTGAATCCTGTATAAATAGTAAAAAAAAAATAGTGAAAAAGACAATGTTAAGCATGAAAGATATGGTGGCCTAACAATAAGTAGATTTAAAACAGAGTTGCAGTTCTTTTGTTTTTTGTTTTTTTGTTTTTTGTTTTGTATATGCCTAATAAATGAAAGAAAATGTAATGATGCTTATGCTTCGTTTTTCTTTCCTTTTATTGTCGTAGTAGAGAATAAATAACTATTCCATGTTTATATAATCTGCTGAACGAATGGTAGACTAAACAAGTTCAATATAGTCCAGTCTCAGATACCAACGATTTAAAGCTGTTTTCGGTAAGAGTACGTGGGCTTGAACTAAAAGCGAAGTAATTTTTCGGACAGAAAAATGCTTCTATTTTCATCGAAATTTGCAATATCACTACTCATATCTCTGTTAACAATACAGTGTTTTTAAAAATTTCAAAATATTCCATGAATGTTTTCTTTTTCGCTTTAATAAGAGAAGGCATAGCCCATTTTACATTACGGTATTGGAGAAACAACATGAAATACATTTTAAACCAGAAAAAAAGGAATCAAACCGGTTTAAAAAGGGAATTATGATAAAAAAAAATACAGCTCTTTAAAGGATAGGGGAGCCAGAATATCATATTAATTTTTCATTTCTCTTTTATATCTGAAAAAAATTCAAAATTCGGGTCCTCTTCTTTAACATTAACCGAAAACATCCTTAATTTGTAGTCAAAGTTTAATAAGATGTTATTTCTTGACGTTATTTTATAGTTAGAAAGGAAGCCTATTATGGGGTAACGTAAAATTAAAAAGAAACATCTTTTTCATTAAGGATATTACTATTACTTCAGTTTATCAGGAAAAAAAGAACGTCTATCTCAGGTGTCAGCAACCCTGATCAATATGACCAGTCTATCAATATGACTCAGTGTGCCGCACAGTTGGAAATATTTGAAACAATTCGATTCTAGCAGCAGTACATGCAGAGCTAGGAGATGGATGGCAAAGAATACTGATTCAGATTTTTATATTATGCATTAATTATGGATCATTTCAAGATATTAAATAACATAAAAACAAACTTAAAATATAACTATTCCTTCAACATAAATCAAAAATTAAAATTGCACGACGGATGGTAAAAAAAATTGCTTACATGCCACAGCATTTGAAAAAAACATCTGAGAAACTTTGGTTTCCCAGAGTGGAGACAAATGGCACTCCTTTCATACAGCTGGTTCACGGATAAGTATTCAAAGTTCCCAGACGGTTCAGAATGATTGAAATGGTAAGACGCTTAGGGAATTGGTCCCCTTCAGAAGAGCAAGCACTGGGATCGATTTTTATGGGCAACAAATGTGTCCGCATCTGCCATTTACAATCAAATCATGGAATTTTATGGTGAAGAAGCAATGAGCAATCAGCTTGTTGCGAAATGGTGTCGCTCTTTTCAATAAGTAAAACACGATGTCGGAAATCGCAATATGGCAGGGAGCGGCCGGCCAAGTTCTTCAACGACACAAATTGAAGAAATGTTTCAAAATGATCGCCGGTTAATTCTGAGTGAAATCTCATCAGAGCTGAGGCTGAACTATGGTAGGGTGCAGCATATCGTTTGTTATGTGATGTGATATTCCAAGCCAGTGCTGCGAAAACATCCGCCGAAACCTTACCAAATGGACAGGGACCTGATTCCCACCAAGACGGGTTAAACAAGTTGGTTCTGAGTTCTGATAAAGGCCTAAATATACTTGGTGATGATGTTGAAATGTAACAGACACGCATGCCTCTTAATTCTTTTTTGGATTTTCTGTCTATTGTTAATAAATATTACTTTATTCGATTTGTAGCCACTTTTTTCTGTGATCGCTCCTTGTACATATTTTTTGAGTTTAAGTATCTTTCAAACGTAATCATTAAAATTAGAAATAAACAACGAAATATAAATATTCCATCTATAGAGTTAAGTATTTTCATGTGAACATTTTGTACCGGCGTTACCCACACAAATTTGGTAAGATTATTTAGCTTGAAAATGAAATATGTATTTTTTCAAAACGTTTCCGTTCCAACATATTTTTCTCTCGTGACATTCCTTTGCGGACTTACGGTCTGGGGAAATTATTTAATATTCTTCTATACTTTACCATTGAAGGGGTTATTCTTTTCGACATGTGTGTTGTGGGTCATATAATGAATAGTTATAGGAGTCCTAGTTATGTCCTAGTCGATATCTAAAAATAACTTCGTTCTTTTAAGCAAAAGTGTAAGGAAATGGCAGACAATGGCAAAGATGTGGCGGGAAAAGACATCCTAAATGATTCTGGATGTGATTGTTGCGTGACATGAAGTGGTTTTATGCTTGTTATATGTCCTCGATTTTTTTTCTTGTCGTTTCGTTTGTGCACGGAAGTTTTGGATTAAGTTAGAAATTTCTATCAAATGCAATAAATATGTTATACTTTTCTCAGCATTTTGTATGCGGGATTTTATCAAATGTTTTTAAAAATACCGATTGTGTTCCAATAAATTAAATTCTCATGTGCTTAATTAATTTAAAATATTTCTATTAAATATTCAATTACCGAACAATATTATGTTTCTTCGGAATTCTGAGTACTATTATTTATTATTAGCTCGATGAATTCTGCCTTTGAGATTCTATTATCAAAAATTATAAATCATTGGTTTCACATCGTGATAATGCACTTCCTCACGCCATCATTACTCGTAAATTTCAAAAGCTTTGTATTTATCAATATGACATTGTGTGATTATATCCATTTTTGAAATATTGTATTCTTCATGTGCATGTTTTAGTGATGTTTCAACGTGTGGTGGTGGTATCTGTGTATAAGCCAGTTACAACCTCCATACTAAGATGATCATTTTAGTAAAGTTGTTGTGTTATATGCTTACGAATCAGAAGGTAGCAGGTTCTAACCTTTATTGGTGACCCTGGTTGAACTTCGAAACAACGCAAACCTTCACAGAACAGACGTGGCTCCATCTATCCGATGCTAGAGCAATCCAAAAGCCGCTATATACGCAGCACAGCAAAGCCGTCAGATCACATGACGCAGCACTCAAGCTGTCAATACACACTTGACGCAATAGCAATAACTCACACGCTCGCCATAACAGCGGTATCGTTCGTTCGTCTATTCACCGACTCACTGGAAGGGGAGTGTGTGGCGGTGTTATCTATATAAGTCAGTAACAATCGCCGTACTAAGATGATTATTTTAGTATAGTGGCTATGTTATGTGCTTACGGATCGGAAGATACCGAGTTCTAATCTACCGGCAAACGTATACTACTTCCTTTAACATTTGTATTAAATAGTAATATGAAAATAATAGCAATATTGTATGAGAATTTCTGTAATTCTTCTAATAATCTAAAACTAAAAATATCCAATGATTGTTTGCACTGTTAGAAATAATTCATTGGAATTTTTATTAATTATATAAGCTATATATGTTTCCTTTGAGACTAAAAAAAAATCGATATAAGTCATGGCAGCATATAATTTGATGAATCTTAGTAATTTTATATTATTTAAAGAGAGAGAGAGAGAGATAAAAAAGGCTTCTAAAATCATTTTAGGATAAAAAAAATAGGACAAACTCAAGGATTTTAATTTCAGTAATGACAGCCCCAAAAAATCAAGCACACTAACATAATGAGTAACTGCATGATGTAGTGGTAAATATTGTCTTTATTCAAAATTTTGTTGTACTTTGGCATTTCTACGAGGGTAGATCCAAAAAAGGTTATAAGGCAAATAAAAAAAAATATTTATTAACAATGTACAGAAAATACAAAAGGGAATTAAGAAGTATACGTGCCTATCACTTTTCGACATAATCACCAAGTCTATTTAGGCCTTTATCAGAACACAGAACCAACTTGTTTAATCCGTCTTGGTAGAAATTAGGTCCCTGTCCATTGAGTCAGGTCTCAGTGGATGTTTTCACAGGACTATCTTGAAATGTCATAACACATCGGAAACGGTACGTTGCACGCTACCATAGCCCAATCCCATCTCTGACGAGATTTCACGTAGTTACCCGTCGATAATTTTGAATCGTTTCTCCAATTCATGTCGTGGTGATTTCTGTCACGTAAAAATTTAGCCGACCACTCTCTGTCATATTACAGCTTTCGACATCCTGTCTGCTGATTGATAAGAGTGACACAATTGTTGTGACACAGAGTGACACAATGTTGTCTGCTCATTGCAAATGCGGACACATTATTTGCCCATAAAAATCGAATCACAGCTCGCACTTTCAAACGAGACTAATTTCCTCAGTCTTTCCATTTCAATTGTCCTGAACCATCCGGGTAATTTCACTTCCTACCCGCAAGCTATCTGCATGGCAAGTAGCGCCATTTGTCTCCACTCTGGGGAAACAAAATTTCCCCACTATACATAGTTTTCAAATACTGCGGCTTGTAACTTTTTTTTTTATCTACCTACGTACTCTGAAAGCGCTGTTAAATGTTTGGGGACTAACGACACGCTCAAGCAAGTTGATTGTAGTGAAATATTAATATTATTAAAATAATAGCAATTGTGAAATTTTAAATTTGCTTTGAAGATACAATTAGGTCACTTAATTTGGGGAAGGCTTATCAGAAAAGGTGACAAATAATGGCTGTGTAGAATTTGCAGAATCATCTGCAGTGTTGTTTTTCAATTTAGGTACCATATA